CACAATTTCTCTGTTCCCTTACTGAGAAAGCTGAATGCCAGAGCCTGTGCAGTGAGGTTCCTAGGGCACAGAAACAGGATTGGGTTTCTTCTAAAGAACTTTTTGCTTTACCTCTCTAGCTATGGGACGTTCAGCAGCAGAAACGTCTCCGAAACATGACCAGCCATTGTGCCCGTGTGGGAACCCTCAGCTGGAACAGCTACATCCTCTCCAGGTAAAGCAATGGGTCAAGGGCAGTTCCCTGTTGTTGCAAACTCCTATCCCTCAATCTATGTGTGGCATGGGTTAGGGATGGCAGAGAGAAGTTTGTCCTGGCTTGGGATTCTTACTCAGCCTTATCTGTTGGAGCCTCTTTCCTGTATTGCAATTTGTGCTGAAGTTGTAAAGAGCTTGTGTGGGTGTTTCACTCACACCAACAGACCTGTGTTGCTGGTAACACTGGTTGAAACCCAGTGGCAGGTATAGCAGTCTTGCAACAACAAAAATGGATTTGGGTGAAGATGTGCAGCCTGACCCTGCAAGCCTTCTCTTCTCTCTGCAGTGGTGCACGGAATGGGCACATCCATCACCATGATGTCAGAGTGGCTGAACATCACGTGGCCACCCTTGCTGGCCACACACAGGAGGTGTGTGGACTCAAATGGTCTTTAGATGGGCGCTACCTGGCCAGTGGTGGCAACGACAATCTGGTGAACGTCTGGCCGTGCACCCAAGGTGGGGGTGGTGACTTTGCTCCTGTACAGACCTTCACTCAGCACCAGGGTGCTGTCAAGGTGAGCACAGAGCTGCCACGGGCAGATATGTGTGTGCAAGGCAGGCATGCAGCACTGGCTGGGTGCAGGTTGCCTCTTGTATGTTTTAAAATGAACTCTCCTCTCTCAGGCTGTGGCGTGGTGCCCATGGCAGATGAATGTTCCAGCCACTGGAGGTGGCACTAGTGACAGACATATCCGCATCTGGAACGTCTGTTCTGGTGCCTGCCTCAGTACTGTTGATACCCATTCCCAGGTGAGATATGAACATCAGCTTGGACACAAACACTTCTGGCAGCACTCCTACACAGAGCTTCTGGCTCCTCAGACCCAGAGGCATGGGGAAGGAGGGGATCATGCTCACCTCTGAGTAGTGAGCATCAGCACAAGCACCCTGTCTCACCTGTGTTACTGCCTCTTTGCAGGTCTGTTCTATCTTATGGTCGACTAACTACAAGGAGCTCATTTCAGGCCATGGATTTGCACAAAATCAGCTAGTTATATGGAAATATCCAACAATGGCCAAGGTTGCAGAGCTGCAAGGTAGGTGGACAGGGCCTGGGTGGGGGGCTGTTAGAGGTTGAAGACAGCTGCACTCCTTGGTTTGAGCCTGCAGCATCACTGATACAGGACAGTATCCGGGGCCATGCTGCTAGGAGTAAAGCATGCCCACGGGCTGTGGAAGAGATACCATTGCTCCAAGTGTATGCTTGGGGTCTGAAATCATGCTGCCACAGCCAGTGGGGGGACAGCTATGCAAGCTGGCAGGGCTCATGGGAGTATACAGGAGTAAATGTGCATGTGCTGATCAGCTCAGCCCTGATTGCACACTCCTCCTCAGGTCATACTGCTAGAATCCTGAACCTGACCATGAGCCCGGATGGTACAACAGTGGCATCAGCAGCTGCTGATGAAACGCTGCGGCTCTGGCGCTGTTTCGAGATGGACCCCATCAAGAAGAAGGAGAAAGAGAAAGCAAACTGTGCCAAAAGCAGTATTATTCACCAGAGCATCCGCTGACAGCACGGGATTGTTGTGGGGAGGGGGATATTTTTGGTTTACATGCTGTACAGTATTTTAAATGTTAATAAACTGCTTAACTTGACTTTTCCTTAATGGAGTCTGATGGAAGAAAAAGCCATGGCTCCTAAACCCAAGTTCTTCTCCCCGAGGCTGGGGATCTAGGCAAGGAGTGGAGACCTAGGGCCAGTTTACAGGCCCCTGAGCTTAGCACAGCCTAGCAGAAGGATGCTGTGCAAGGGCTGTACTTCTCTTTCTGTCCTAGTGGAGACAGATATGTCACCTGCCCCATCTAGGTGCTGACTACAAGCACAGCAGTTCCACCATGGGCTCAGCTGAAAGTACAGCATGGCTGTAGCCTCAGTTAGTGTTGTCCTGGCCTATCTCACAACCACAGGGACCTTACTGTGGCTCTGCAGGCAGATCTCAGTTTGTCTTGTTAGCTACAGGCAGCCATCACTGCCTGCGTATGGTGCTGGAGTAGAATAGCTTTTGGAAAAAAAAGGAGGGGGGGAAACATAGAGCAACAGCTGTAATCACCCCAAAGGCTGGAAAGGGGCTGGCTCTGGCATAAAGCCTGATGCAAAACAAAAGGTTAGCTTACACTGCCACAGCCAGCCTGGATGTCATGCAAGAGCCACGCAAAGCACCACCAACCCTGTGCTCAGCCTTCAGTCACGTATTCTTCCAACAACTCTGATCTCTCTTCCCCTCCTGCTGACAGGAAGCCCTGGTGCCTTGCTGAGGCTAAATGCAGGGGAGCAGGCACCAGGGCTCAGCTCACATTTATTGGAGCTTGACTCCCCTACACTTGGAAAAATGCCTTTTTTCCAGGCTGAACTGTGCTGGAGCAAGTTGCAGAAATCATATTTGAGCTCTTAGCTGACCCAACAACCAGCTCAGCCCTGCTGCTTTGCATGGTGGAGCCACAGTGTCTGAGGTTGTGGGGCTGCACCAGACCCATCAAGCCTGTCCTTCAGCTGCACCAGCATTGCCAGGGGCTGCTGGGGACACTGCACAGCTGATAAGCACCTTGGCCTGTGCAAAGCAGCTCCACCAAGCCTGTGCCTCCCATCAGCCCTCAGTGATTAACTGAGGGTGGATTATTAACTGTTTTCACCTTTCCCTCAGCACAGTACCACACTGTGCCTAGCACCAGCTCTGCCTCCTGAGCCTTACAGCAGTGGGAGCCTTCAAAGGTCCCAACTTGTGATCTGCCAAGGCCAGTGAGTGTGTAACCACACCCACCAGAGCACATCCCCCCCACACACACCAAAGCTGATATGGGGGGCACAGTCTCAAAAAACAACTGAGCCAGCACCTTCGCAGCAGTGCTGCTGGTGCATCCCCATCAGGCCACTTGGGGACACAAATCCTTGGGCCACAGCTGTCTCTAAAGGGGAAGCAGGCAGGAACCCAAGATGCAAGGCTGGGCTCTTCCACAGAGCTGTGCTACTGTTGTAGGAGCCCTGCCCCACACCCCTGCACTTGGTGCTGGGAGTTAGCACAGACTTGCCCTGTAGGGCTGCAGATGATTAGGCCTTCCATGGTCCCTGACCTGGAAGGAAAGCTTTATATGCCAAAAAGTTGCTGTCATTTTTTCAGTCCCATGTAAAAGCAGCTCAACTTTGCCACAGACTCTTTCTTTCTCCTTAGCACATGCCCCACACCCAGATGCTGTGCATTACACAGCCCTTAGAGGACATCTGAGCATTACTAGAGGGTAATGATACTGCAGGGTCTTTGACCCCATGCTGGTCTCTTACAGTCCTGGAGTGAGGAGGAGCTGAGGAAGGAAGTGGGCACTGATCCAGCAGGCCCAGTAAACACAGCCCTATAAGGTGTGAATTCAGTTCACAGCATGACAGCATATTTATTACCAAGTGCCATGGCCAGCCCATAGAAGAGCACAGCTAACAGGAACAATTGGAGGAAGGGAGAGCAGAGCACATGCAGGGAACAGCCCATTCTAAAATACCAAGCATAAGTAGTTTAAAGCATTGTTACTATTTTGGGCAAAAGCAAAGACAATCCTGTCTTTAGCCAGAGCCAGCGGGAGGGGAGAAGGAGGCTTGACAGGAAAAGGTCCATGTCAGCTGGACCATCACCTACAGCTCCTAAAGTGGTGACTTCTGAGCACTGACCTAACATTACCCACCACTTCAGCACAGACAAGAACAAATTCTCATCCAAGTCTTTACTTCCAGAGAAGCATCAGCAACTGGGAGAACACTGCATGACTTCTTACATACAAGGACATTGAGTGCTGTAGAAGCGGGTGATGGCTGTGTGCAGCTTAGCCATATTAGTCACACCAGTTCAGGGCACTTGGAAGATGTTTTCCGACATTTCAGAGCCTTGAGGTGTACAGCAGCCCAGGTCAGAGCAGCAGAGCTCTCCCACACCAGGCTCTGCTCCAGGGCTTTAGCTGGACATCCACCAAAGCCCTCCCACCCCACAACCCAACCCAGCATCTGGAGGCTGCTGATCTAACACATTCCTCCCAGCCACATGCTGCCCAGCTGGCTCCCCACTCTTCTTCCCAGGCTTGAGTCAGCACCCAGGCTGCCCTCTGCTCAAGAGGGCCCCAGTCATGGGGGGGATGGGAAGGCAGCCCTTACACCCCAACAGCACCGAAGGAACCCCAGAATGAGACAGTTGGAAAAATAACAAAGCCCAGCCAGGCAAAGACGTACTTCTGCAGCAAAAACAAGACAGCAACATTAAAACCTTCCTCTGACCAACCTGAGCTACATTGTGCATAGATCCATGCTGCTGGGGCATTCACAGATAGCAGCAGTTTTTGCTTTGGCAGATTCAGAAAGCAACAAACTGCTGTTTCTCAAGCACTCAAGATTCCAAAGTCTCTATTCCCTGCTCTGCCATGCCTCAAATCCCCATAATTTCTGAAAAGCAACAGTTCCTCCTGGGCAGGTGGCCCAGGACCCAGCCCACACCCACACTCCACCCCAGCCATTTTTTGACAGGGTGGAGTCACTTTCACAACAGAAGCCTTGACACACATCCAGCCCTGAGCACTGCTCTACCAAAACAGTTGGAAACAATCTGCCATCTGCTTCATCAGCACACAACCATGCCCCTCTTCCCGCAGCATAAACCTGCTACACTAGCTGCTTCTCCCAGGCCTGCCTTCAACCATGCTGGGCAGCACCAAGCACTTGGAAGAGTTTTTGCTTATATTGAGCCAAGAAAACAAGAGAACAGAGACATTTCTCCTTCTGTTTGTTTATTTGTGATAGAAGAGCAGCCCAATCTGACAGGGCCTGGCTCCTTCACCTCGTCCTCGAGGCCATCAGCATGTTTTGGTTACAATCAGAGCAGGTGTTGGGCACCAGGCCAGGAGAACTGCTGCACTGCCTTGCTGAAGGACAGAGCACATCTTCACACAGGCCCAGTCAGATCCACAAAGGCAAGAGGTGCTCACTTAAAACTGCCCTCGACTGTGCTCAGGCTAGGCCAGAGTAGGGCTGGACCCAAGCAGGAGAGCCCAGGAGCTGATTTTAGGGGCACTTATTGCTCAAGTCTTGAATTTACAAGAATGGAAGTGGTCCAAGACTTGGCTGAGCTTGGCCTCCCCCACTATGGAGTAAGCCACCAGCTGCCTTAGAGGATCAGGTAAGTGTGGCTTAAGCCCACACTGAGCACCCAGCCCAGGCACAAGGACAGCAAAGCAACCTGGGCTTATCACAAGGGGGAAGCCTTTCAGGCTGTCACAGCCCCTGCTATGTACTAGGCACAGGGCATGGGTACCGTACTGGGCAGGTCTGGGCCCTTAAGTCCCACAAGTACTGCCCCTACGTTCTCCACTGACACCTGAGCACAGATATGCCAGGGCAGGGCTCCCAAGCTGGGCACACAGGGACCAGAAGGGACATGCAGCACTGTGGCATGGAACAAAGTGGCACAAGGCATCGTAGAGCAGGAGCACTCACATGAGCTGGCAGTAACGAGCAGCCAGGGATGAATCTGCTCATCCATACAAGCTCTTGTGAGACAGGGAAGAGGAGAGGGCACCAGGACAGGAAGCGGTCTCTTCTTTTGGTCCTACTCAGAAGGAAATGGCCCCTAGGCAGAAGAGCCAGATGTAGGCACTTGGGGAAAGTTCCTTTGGAAACACTGGAATGGGACTGCAGCCCCACAGCTGTGATGCAGGCAGCTGCCTCTCTGCTCAGCAACACTGAGAAACAGCACAAGCCCTCCCAGGAGCAGAAGTGGCCCATGGCTGCTCAGAGCAGAGGGGCTGAGCATGCAGACAGGGGGCAGCAGGACTGGGCACAGGGGTACAACAGTCTGTAGGCACTTGACTTGGCTAGTGGCACCCAGGAGCAGAGGACAGGTCCCAGCTGCCTCTGCCCCGGGGCTCTCATTGGCTCTGGGAGCACTTTACCCTCTAGTTGGCTTTGACCTTGCCATTGGTGACAGTGCCATTTTCATGGATGCTGCTACCGTTGTGCTGGGCTGCTTGTTGAGCCACCCTGGGCAACCGCTTGCCCTTGGTGTAGGACTGGTACCAAAAATTGGAGAAGAGGATGAAGAAGATGGTCCCATAAATCCAGATAAGGTGGATGAAGATGGGGAACTGGTATTGGCAGTTGGGCATGAAGTAATACTGGGAGATGTGGACGGAGACAATCACAAACTGTGCCTGGGAGCAAGGCAGAGTAAGAACAAGTTATTAATGGGAGCAGGGTCAGGGAACCCACTAGAGACCTTATTTTTAAAGGCAGCACCTAGACTCCTTTCCCAGTCTAAAGCAGAGTTCCTTATGGTGAGGCATGCAGCAGCAGCTGGAAGAGGCAGGCACAAGTCTCAGAGCAGCATGTGCCTCTCACCCTCCCAGCACAGCTACAGCTCAGGAGCTGAACAGCACCCACACCCCAACCAGGCTGGTAGGGCTATCAGAGCCCACAGTGGGGCAGAGCTGCTAAAAACTCAGAGCAATATGCTACAGAGGAGACTACTGCTTCTGGGGCTGCACCTTTCAAAGGTACAAGGGCTGGCCTGCCCTTCACATCAGACACGTGCTCTGCTCTACCACACAGACTCACCAGCTGGATGGCTGTGATGTGCTTCTTCCACCACAGGTACTTCTGAAAGGCAGGTCCTGCTGCTGAGAGCCCATAGTAGAAATACATGACAACATGCACCATGGAATTGATCATGGCATGGAATGAGCCCATTCCCCCTGTTAAGATAGATTTTCTTAGTGTAAGTCAATACTCCACAGCAATCAGCACTACGCAGAGCTGCTAAGAGCCCAAGAGGGCCAAAACCCCTTCTCAGCATGCTGGGGTAACCCTACCCAATCCCTGCACCCAGACAGTTGCCATCTTACCTGGACCAAACTTGGCTCCCCACCACCAGCTCCATGGCAGAACAGAGTGGTGGAAAAGGTGCAGGAATGTGACCTGCTCATTCTTCTTCCGCAGGACAAAGATGACCTGCAATGAAAGCCCAACAGCATTAAGAACCTGCAGCCTGGGAGCAGCTAGAGAAGGCTGGGCCACTAATCCAGTGTGTGCTCTCCATGATGCTTCCCTCCTTCCCCACTCATTGTTATCACCCATTAGGTCACCCCACAGCTTCTTGAGCTGAAGCATGTAAAGAGTGGCCTCAGCACCAACATTCCAGAGTGACCTCCTTGGCAGTGATGCCAGACAAGCACTACCAGGTCAGACTGGAAGGGCTGCAAAAGCACCTACCCCAAATACACTGGGCTCAGCTCCCTGCCCAGCAAGTGGTGAAAAGGCCTTGTCAGTAACTCACCGTGTCTGTCAGTTCGATGAACTTGGAGAAAACAAAGAGCCAAGCAACACTGACCATCTGTAACAGAAGAGGTTAACATCAGAGACCTGCCCCAGCCTGAACAAGCCCAGTGAGTGAAGGGCTTCGTAGTTATCCTAGAATGAAACCAAGGCCCAGAGACTACACATCCTCTGCCTCAGGAACAGCAGGAGCTGTGACCCTGCCATCCAAACAGAAGCACTAAAGGCCCCCCCACTTATCAGGAGAGGGATGAGAACTCACCCTGAGGGCCTTGGGGTCCTGTGAGAAGTCCACAGGGTCACATCGCCAGGTGTACCCAGTGAGCCACCCTGCCATAAGGAACTGCAACAAGAGCATCGTCAGGGTGAGGCCTAACACATCACCCACTGCACACCAAGTTCTGCACAGAAGGGCAGGGAACAGCCAGGAAAAGGCTCCCCATCACCCACACAGCCTGCACACGCTGCTTTACACATGCCTGACCAAGCTACTGATAACTCACCTCATAGACTATGTAAAGGGAGAGTCCCACCAGAAAGAAGTTGTATAGCACCATGAACTTCTTCAGATTTAGAGGCTTCCTGTTGGCCATTAGCCGGGGACCCAGGGATAGGACAAAGTAGACATATCCCAGAAGGATGCCCATCACAAGGAACGGGGACTGCATCAGTGGATAGTCAGCGATGCGGGGGTCTGCAGAGAGAGCCACAGTGCACAGCAGTCAGCATCCTCAGCCCAGCCTGCTGCCAGCACTGCTACTGCCACAGGGGAGGCAAGGGCATGGCAGTCCTGCTCCAGGACACGAGTGCAAGTAGGGAAGCAGTCTGGGAGCAGAGGCTGGTGAAGGTATACTCAGCACAGTATAGCCTGAAGCCATGCTGCAGGGCAGCCTGGAGATCATCTGCCCAGGAGAACACAAGTGCCCCAAAACAATTGACACAGGCACTGATGCAAGACAGCCTCATAACAGGCACTGCAAAATCCCCAGAGTTGCATCTGTGTAAGGGCAAAGGAAGGATGCAGTTACACCAAGGGATGCTTCAGGGATGACAGACCACCCCCCAGTGCCTCCGGCACTGAAGCATGTAGTGCATGCTGCCTGATAGCTGGGCAGAGCCAAACACTGACCTGCTTTCTTCATGAAGTCCTGGTACATAGTCACAATCCCCTCCATGGTGGTGGCAGTGTCTCTGTGGAAAGAGGCAGGGAAGATCAAGCAGATGTTTTCCCAGGACAGCAGCCTACGGAGCACAGCCCTGCAGATCAGTAAACCCCAAGCCAAATTTCAGAGAAACAGTCATGCATCTGCCCTGTGTTGCTTTCAGCTGATCACACACCAGAATCCACTTTCCAGCTGAGCTACAGGCCACCTCACTTCTCACAGGGCCTGGCTCTGTTTCTCCCCAGCTCTGCTGGGAACCCCATCATCACATGCCAGCAGTCCTTCCCTTCACTCAAGGCAAGAGCCCAACATTTCAAGCCAGCTAGGAAAGCTTCCAACCTCAGCACTCTATCTCCAGGCCCTTAATCTTGCTCCTGCTGTACAAGCTCAAGCATTATCACCCACAAGCACCATGACATTGCCAGCAGCATTGGCAGCCATATCATTCAGCACACTTGTCTGTCTGATCCTGGAGCAGAGATGCAGGGCTGGCCCACACTCTCCACAGCACAGTGCCTTTATGGTCAGCTTTGGGCTCCTGCCAACTGATTGCCACCACAGAAGCAGCACACCATCACTGGCAGCCCCATTACATGAGGAAGGAAATCCATAGGTTCAGAAACAAACATTAGTTTCTGATGTCAAAGTTCCTGGTTTCACATCCTTGCACAAAACTCTCTGGACAAGAAACTACTACCACATAACCTAGTACCTCAGGGGCCAGGTGCATCCTGCTTGGCAATGGCATTTCCACTCCCTTCCAGACAAGAGAAAGCCATATGATGGAAGGCTGCAGGGAGAAGGACTGGCACTCCTCACACTTGCTCATCCTCAGTATGAACACACACCAGAAAGTGATCTGGGCAGATGCTCTCCAGAAAAGCAGGAAGGGCTCTTACTGCAGCAGGCAAGTTTTAAAGACCCTCACCCCTTCCCTGTGCTCCCCAACCTCTCCCCAGCCCACAGGACACCAGAGCAGCAGGAAGGGAGGCAGAGCATAGGCCCAGCCTCACCTGACTCATCCATCTGCAAGGGAGGCATTCCCCACAGCTGCTACCAGACACTCCACCTACCCCTTCCCTCCAAGAAGGTGCACTGGAGTCACAGCCCACACATGGCCTGGGGAAATGGGTCCCCAGCCCAGTCTTCCCAGGAGGTATATTGCTACCACCACCAGGAAGCACATGGCCCCTTCCAGACCAGCAGCCAGCAAGCTGAAGCCAGAGTACCCCTCTTCCCAGTAAGGTCCCTGAGTACTCAGCAGCCACTGCCACCTCAAGCCCTCGCCAGCCAACACCAGCACTGCTCCTTCAGCTTCACAGCAAGAGGAAGAACTCACTGCCATCTTTGCTGTAGGCAGGCTGGCAGCAGACACTTCCTGTGCAGAGCTACCAGGCACCTCCATGGCAGGCTTTGCCAGCAGTAATCTTCAGGGAGGCCTGGCACACACCATTCTGGCTCACCACTGCAAATCAGTTTGGTGCAGCAGTGGTGCTGGCTCTGTGCCTGCCCAGTCATCCCCTCTGCATTCCTCCAGACTGGGGAGTGCCACCTAACCTTTGCAAGGGCAGCAGGCAGGAAGAGGTCTCCTCCTTCAACTCCATCCTCCAAAACACCCATTCCCCCAAGCAAGGCTCCAGAGCAGCCTGCACAGCCATGCAGCCCAAGGACAGAGCCCAAGAAGTTTTGCTGTGTTTCAGAAAGCACAAAAGGTGGCTCCTTGTGCCATCTTGGAGGCAGATAGAGCAATAGGGCAAAGCCCATTTAGGGCTGATCCCCCCACATATCAGGGGCACCTCAGCAGCACAATACCTGTTCACCCTCCCAAGCAAGGTTTCAAAGGGTATTATAGCAAGTAGTACTCACTTGTAGTATCACTGTGATGCAAGTAATATTTAAAGTTCTGGGTGCTGCCAAGATAATCCACTCACCATGTGCAGCAAAGGCCAGCTGGAAGTGTAGCAGGAACTATTGCATCCTTAAGAGACACTCAAGGCTCAGCTGTGGGAAACACAGTAAGCACAAGTCTGGAAAGCTGCTGAGCTTTATGTTGCTCTAATGGCTAAGAGCAAGCTCCAAACTTGTCTGTCTAGTTTCAGCTTTCAACCACTACATCCAGCTACACCTTTATTTGCTAGATTGAGGAGCCCTCAAGAGTCAGTTCCCAGCAGAGGCACCTGACTATTCAAGGTCTGTGTTTATCTTATCAAGGTGAATGAGTCAGCCTTACTACAGGTCCAGGGCAGAGACAAAAATCCTGCCGAGTTCTTGCCTATTTTGAGCAGGCCAGGATGAGAAGAGAGTGTCAGCTGTCTTTGAGCTCAGAGCTGCATCTCACACTGCAGGAACACACTTCAGTCTGCACTATGGATCACTCCCCTGACCCTGGGCCAAAGCCTCCAGTACCACTGGCCAGCTAGGACCCAGCTCAAAACAATTCAGGGGCCATGACAACTATGCCCCCAAGCAGGGGGAGGTGCCCATTTCAAACCAGGACTGGCACAGAAGTGCCCACCAACATGAACAGTAACAAGTCTGCCTTATTGCTGTTTTGTGAAGCACCTCTGACACTCCTACAGCCACACATGCCACAGGAAGTTGGGAGGCATTGGACTTGTCCTGAACACAGGCTCTGGGCAAGCACCAGGATTTCTACCAAGACAAAAATAATAGAATTATGCTACTAGTAGAATTATAGGCCCTTATGGAAAGGACCTAGAAGTTTTCCTTGGTTTCTCTAGGCAGAACAACATCCTGCTAAATTAAGCTAACAGAGCAACCACATCTTCAGAGAAACCCCTGAGGTGTTCAGGTCTTTGGGAGACCTGGCATCTGTCCCCACTGGCATGCTACATCATCCTACATCAAAGTGGCCAAAGTATGCCTTGCTCAGTGAGCAGATGCAGCTATGTCTGTCCCTCAAGGGGCAGCCACTGACCTTGGGGAGTTGACAGCTGAGCAAAGTGGGAGTTGCAGGGCACACCCAAGAGTTACCTTCACTAGGCAGGGGGGTGTGAAGTGCACTTACCTGCCTAAGCCATGCCTGCTCCATGCCAGCCTTACTGCTGCAAGCAGGGGTTTTCCAGCACAGAGCACCAACTGTCCAGGAACCTGAGCTCTCCTCTGTGCACAGCACCCTTCAACACTTTGAGATGGCTTCATCATCCAGACAGGCATCAGCTCTTACTGCACTCCACATCACACACTGCACATCACACACCGCAGGTGTTCACAGCTCAGTGGTTGGATCTGTCCTCTCTGCACCTGGAGGACACTTTAACTGCTCCTAAATCCTGACCTTCTTAAGCAAGGAGTTGGGAAGAGATGCAGAGCCCAAAACTGAGCCTTGATCATCTGAAGAGAAATCAAGCAAATAGGTCCAAGCATCCCAAATGAGCAGGAGCCCTAGGGGCCCAAACACACCCTAGATGATAGAGAGAAACCTTGCAACACATCTCCTATCTCTCAGCAACAGAGAGTCGCTTCCCCATGTCACACAAAAAGTTCCCACTATTTGCAAACTAGGGTATCAGGCCACAATCTGCTCCAGTAACCAACATCAAGGATTAAATACTTGCTTACACCAAGCAGTGTGTAGACTGCATATTTCCAGCAAGCTATACAGCGAATTAGTGCAACTTCAGCAGCAACAGCAAGGCCTTTTATGACCAGCCCCAGTGAGGCCACAGCACTGTCAGAACCACGACACTGACAGAGACCTGAGTTAGTTTTGTTAACAGCCTTGCAGGGCACACATCTCCCCACACAACTATCTGCAAGCAACAGACTCTGCCCCAGACATGGAACACTCCTACTCCTCAGCATTCAGGTCAGAAATCAGTCCTGTAATAAGTGCAAAAGCAAACACCCCCATCTCCCCACTAGTTTAATTAAAGGCAGCACCAAAACCATCTGGTAGGTGGCCACAGAGCTGCCACCCCAGGGAGAGCTGGCAAAGGGCCCTTGCTGAACTGGCTGAAGCAGGCCTGGCCCTGTAGGGCTCCCCAGGGAGTAGCAGCCCTCAAAGGTCAGGAGATAATCAGTTGGCCAGATGTGAAACTAACTCACATCCCTGACCTACAGGCTGGCAACAAGGCTTGCTGCCTGATGCAGCTTTGAGCTCCACCACCTCTCAGGAAGAGGCATCTTCCTCCCCCAGCTCCCCATCACAGCACCTACCCAATTGCCTGGCATTCCAGAAAGTCACCATGGGGTTCAGCAAAGACTGCACACAGCCCCATGTGCCCATGGACTATATTCCCCTGCACAAGAGAGGAACTGATCAAGCCAGCCACAGACAGGGGGTGTGTACTGCACACACAAGGCTGGCACCACAAAACATCACCACCAAGAGCTGACAGCCACAGCTCCAGCAGCTTTCCTGAGCTCATGCACAAGTGAATCCAGCAAGATGAGCAACATGCACATTTATCTGCCCCAAACAACACACAGGCAGCAAGGCAGTCAGAGCCAGACAAGAGAGAGAAGGAGCCCAGCCAGCAATAAGCTGCAAACCCTTGTTTTCTATCAACTCTGTAGTGGGATCACTCTAAGACTCAAGTGTACAGTGAAGCACAGAAAACTGAATTTGGATCCCCACTGCCTGCTGCTCTGTGCTCAGTGAAAGGGAGAGGGGCTTGTAACCAGGCAGTACACACTTATTTCACACACAGCATCTCCTAACACCAGCTCAAACACATGCAGCAGAGGCCACTCAACAGGAGAGCTGTATTCAAGTACACTTGCATTCCTGCTAATAATTTCAGCCATTCACTGAAGACTCAAGATAGCATTGTCCACATGCTTCCAAAGTAATGATTTTTCTCAAAAGAAATCAATATAAAGACATGCCTGTCACCAGCCACAGAAGACAAGTCTAGCAGGACAACCAGAGCTTCCATGTTTTAAGTGTGGAAAGTCACACCAACAGATATGGGCAGTAAAGCTACTCTGCTAGCCTGGCACCTCAGCTCTGAGGACTTGGGGCAAACTCTGATTGGAATTTGAGAACAACCATTCCCAGAACTCCAGTCACAACTTAACTACAAAGACTGCAAGGAAACTTTATGCTAGCAGCACCAGATAAATTTTCCTATTTGAACCCTATCCATTAGTCACTTCCTCTGGCTCTCATGCTGAGTGCAGAGGACATGGCCGACAAGCTGGTACCGTGTGCTCTACACCAGCACATTGTGAAGTCAGTACAGGAGCACTGTGAGGCATAAGGGATGCCAACTCTCAAAGTTGTGATATGTAACAGCTCTTGCAAGAGCTGCCATTGCAACCAGTGAGGGAATCACACTGGCTGGGTGCTGCTCCTGGCACATTGGACCCAGGTGGCAGGAAGTGCCCTGCCTGAAGCTGGGCAGTTTCCTCATCCTCACCAAGTGTGTGTTAATACCCTACCACTCTCTCACGCAGTGGCTGTAAAACCCTGAGGCCTTTGGATAGCATCCTACAAACAGATTAAGCTCTCCCCTTCCCATACTCACTGGAAGCAGGGACAGCAAGAGGAGACTCCCAGATTAGCAGGAGAGCTCTGACTGACAGTCAGTGTGGCACCTCACAAGCTTTCAGGGAAAGGGGGACATCCATTGCAATAGGGTTTGGTAACCTTGTACAAAAATCAAGGCAGATAATCAGACTTCAAGGTCCCACATGAGCACACCAAGAGCAGTAAGAGGTTTAATATGCACAGTATACTTTTTGCAGGGGCAGCACCTCCTCAAGCTGTAAAAGAGCAGGTTTACTCCTTATCACATTCAAAGCTGGTGGCTGCATATTCAGAGAACAGATATCAGTAGAGATGAGAGCAGATGAGATGAGAAAAAACCAAACAGAAAAGGCAACATTAGAAAGAAAATCTGACATAGCAAGGAACAAAGGAGTAAAGAAGTGAAGGAAAAAAGAAACAGTACGAGATACCAACAGAAGTGGGAAAAAAGGTATTTCCTTTCTGGATAACCATATTGATCTGTGTCACTCCCTCACACAGCACCAGGTGAAGGGGGAAGGTAGAGGTGGCTGAGCTCCCTCTCTGAAGTGAAAGCACCCAGCAGCCCCCCAGAGTGCACAGAGCACGCTCAGGAAGGACAGAGCTAGGCAGGTGACAGCAGGGCAGGCAGGGCTACATTGAGCTAGGCCAACTTCTAACACCTGCATCCAAAATCAGGTCAGCCTTCTAAAGCCACCTAGCAAAGAAACAGTACTCCTATCTGGAGGTGGGACAGGCTGTACCACAGCACTCATCTCTGGTTTTAATCACTATGCAAATGCCTCAATACAAGGTTTCATCTCTGTTCTCACAGCCCTGGCTGTAATCATGACACAGTAATGATTAGTGTGCTCTGCCCCACTCAGGCCTGTGCATTAATTAGACAGGTACAGCAAGACAAGATGGACATTAAAATCTACAAGGCAAGATGCAGAAAGGAAAGACTCACAAACTCCCTCCAACAGCTTTGACTATTCAAGAAGACCAGGTATGAACCCAGAGACATTTCTCAACAGGACAAGGGGCCACTGCCTGGAACTTACCATGGCACCAGCTTTGGGTCCTGCACCCTCCACACCAAGAAGGCAGTGCAGTCACACAATCTTCTAACAAGAGAGCAGGACGTTCTCTGACAGAATGAAGATGTCATAGTCCAGTAGCACAGTACATGCACCTAGAACCCAACATGCCTGGGGCTTAATGGTTACCACCTTCGAGGAGGTTCACAGCCTTCCAAGCACAAAGAAAGTGAAGTATGAAGCCTGGCTATCTCACCACAGGTGTAGATTGACCACTCAAAGTCAGTGCACTTGCTTCTATGGCTGTACAGACAAGGAAAGCCTCTTAGGGTTAGACAGAAGCAGCATGAGTTATAAAATCTGTGTGAGCACAGAGCAAATCTTAAACTATGAGAGCAAGCTAGCTGGTCTGATCCACAGGCTAAGAGAGCTCCTTGCCACAAAGCTGGAGAACTTGCTGCCAGTGACAGCTCACCACCCCAACCCATCCCA